CCCAGCGCCCTAGCAAGACGCCAACTCCCGGGGGGCGGGGGAGAAGTCAGCACACAGCAGCAAGGTGGGGCGGGGCCGGCACGTCTCCGACCCGCAGCGAGAGCTCGGCCGAGGTGCGCCTGCGGAACGGGGAGTCCCCGAGCGGCTCCTGCCCAACGCCCGCTGCACGCGCGGGGAACCGGCTCCTGCCATCACGGCTGAGAGCGCGAGGCTCAGGCCCACTCCCCCACCACTGACCGTTCCCTCAGCAGCGGAGGGCAGAGCCGGCACGCGGGTAACCTCGCCTCACCCCAGTCATGTGATTCCGGCATCGCTGGGATTTTTCGCTCGTGCGGGATTGTGGGAAATATCTTTGCACGCGCTTCGCCATCTCAGATTGCGCGCGCAACCGCTTTCGTAGAGCGCCTCGGGGCAGCGGTCGTTGACGGCCTGTCGTAAACTGAATCCTTCCTTTGGTTTTTCATTGCTTGGCTGTGAGCTACGGCCTCTCGGTCCCCCGCGCGCTTTCCGGCCGCGGCGCTGAGAGGACCCGAGCGAGCGCGGACAGGGGCCCGCCCCCCTTCCCCGAGATGCCCCCCAAGAAACCGCCGCCTGCGGCGGGGCCCAATAAGAAGGCGGACCAGAAAAAGAAGGAGAAGATCATCGAGGTGAGGAGGGGGCGCCGGGAAGAGGCGGCGGCGGCGGGAGGAGCCGGGGTGGCCAGGCCCTCGGAGCCGCCTCACAGTCGCGGTGGGCGAGGGGGAGTAGCTCAGGGAGGGGGAACAGGGAGGCGGTAACCGTCTGTCGCACGTCACGCCTCTGGTGTGTCCCCGCGTCGCCTCCGAATTCCGTCCGGCCCCTTTCCTGCCGGTCTCTGCTACCCACCGCATCCCGTAGTCCCGTCCCTGCTCCTCGGCCCCGATCCAGCCCCGTCTCCCCTCTCCTTCCCTGTCCTTCCCCTCGCCCTTCCCGGGATGCGTCTCGGGCCCTTTCTTGATCCCATGTCCTCTGGGGGAGCCTTAAACCAACAACCTTAGATTGCCTTAGAAACGGAGCTGATTTTCCTCTCCTCCTCCCGGGGAAATGGCTACCGGGCGGCCACTTCGGTTGAAACAACTTTATGAAAAATTTTTAAATCAACAAGCTTAAAAACAAAAGTGTAGAAACTGCCACCAGGTACGAAGGCGCCTCTGAAGGGACTCCGCCGCCCTTCCTCTCCCAAGGCACCAGCCGCATCTGTTAACGCATTGCTGGCTTCTCCGTGGCCCTTTAACTGCTCTTTTCATTGGATCCCGTAAATAGACCAGGGTTGGTTATTTTCAGCCTGAAGATGGGTTGGTCAACGTTTTTATTCTGACACATTAGAGCACAGGTGTTGGAAAGCTTGCAGGGCTCAGCTCTTTCAGATGTATGTCTGCAATGCCAGTCAAATCAAATCACTCTGTATGTGTATCCCAGTGCAAAACTTGGCCTATGGTCTCTTGTGTCAGGGCATAATGTCAGCTGATGGCATGGGTAAATACTTGTTTAGCAAATCTAGGCTGAATAAATTAAAGATTATCAGGTAGTAACATTTTGTGCTCTGTTGGTCCTCTAACAATGTTTGTCATTCATAAAACTATTCTTGACTGTTAAGAAATGTCAGTGTTTATAATTTTATTTAATAAAACCTGTAACATTATACAGGCTTATTTGTCATTGGGATTCCTTGTGAGTGAATATCTTCTGAAATGCTGAAAATATGACTTTTTTGGGGGGGAGGAAAGTTAGGTCAACATCTATACTCCATACCAGGAGCACTTCCACCGACTTAATTCTCTGGGGCATTGAGGGCACTGACAGCTGGAGCCCCACCACTGGGAAGCCCCAGCTGTCAGGCCCATGTGGGGCTGACAGCCAATAGACGATGTAAGTAACGCAGTGTCTACACAGCTGTACCACTGCAAGAGTGCTTGGGTAGTCGCGTTATGCCAACAGGAGAGAACATAATAGCTACCATTGTTCGTTGAGCTGGTTTTATGTTGGTGGGAGAGCATCTCCTGTTGACGTAGCACTGTGCACACAATGCTCAGGGCTGTTTTTGTTTTTTTTACACCCTGAGTGACAAAAGTTTTGCCCCATAAGTGCTAGTGTAGACATGGCCTAAGTTGACGTAGTGGGTGACTTACATCGGTGGGTGTGACATTTTAGTGCAGATGCTTACAGAGTTAGGTCAACATAAGCTGCTTTACATCAACCTAACTTTCTAGTGTAGACCAGGCCTTATATTTGTTGTATTTAAAAGCTATACAGTCATTGCAAAGCAACAAATTATTAAAAATATACACTGAAAAATCACTAATCCATTATTATTATTGATGGTTAATTAGTATGTAAAACTTTGTGAGCTTGAGTGCTGGAACTATTTTTTAGTGTTTTCAATAAAAAGTAACCAGTTTCAAATGTATTTATTTTTTTGTTATTTTGCTACGTGTTTTTCCTCTATTAACATTTCCCAAATTGTGTTAACCAAGATGTTATCATTGGGTGACTTTTTTTTATTCCAGTGACTAGCAATAAAATATTTTTCTGCTTCTAATAAATAGAATTAAATCAAAGGCAAAGATAGGCTTTAAATAGAGGTTGCAGTCACAGAAAAATACATTGCCGCAGATAGGAGTGTAAAGGGTGTTGTCAGGTTTTATATAAAATTTGAATGGAACTGAGATAGAAGATCTGCCTTCCATAAACAAACTGGAAATGTAGGGAGACAAATTGCTGCAGAGGAGCGTGAGCAGACACTTTTTGCCATGGAACGGGGGGATACTCAGCAATTTTTGGATTGAACACACAGAAAGCAGGTGGTCACATAGGGAAGATGGGTGAGGAGAGGAACTACAGCAGTGGTAAAGAAAACTGTTAAAAGAATGCAGGACAAGAAAGGATTATATGGATATTTTACTGTTTTACAAAATTTTGGGACACAAATATTCAGATAAATTGAAGACATTATGACTTAATTTGGAGGACCCTTTGGTTCAGCACCTCTGGGGGAGGCAAGTGACAAGCATACCTTGCCATAACAGAAAACAGCAGTAAGGGGGAAATGCTTTTGGCTGGACACCCTAGGGCAACTGTTGTGTTTACAAAAATGCCATGGAATGGCATTCACCAAAAA